AATGTCAAAGGAAAGGATCACTATGGATAGTTGTCCACTTTATCTCAAACTTTTTTCTTCATAAATAGTAACTAACAATTTTTTGCTATTCTGGTAAATATCCTAGGCGAAGCTTAGAGGTCACCGGTTCAAGTGACGCTTGGGACGAAACTAATATTAAATGATGTGATTTCAGGCCTAGAGGGATTACGGGCTTTGGCCAAGAACCTCTTGATATTCAAAAAAAAAAAACAATTTTTTGCTATTTTCAAAGAGAAATACGAATGTTTGCAAACTTTTTTCTCCGTAAATAGAAATTCCAGACCTATGCTTATACATTTTCTAGAGTCGGGATCAACATTTAACATATATTATTCCTTCTAACATAAATCGAAATCGTGTCCTTTTTGAATGTTTACATTTTCGGCTTACCTAGATTTAACCATTGGTCCAACCCCATGTTGATAAACACGAATATTTGCAAACTGAATATTACCATTTCAATTGTGCAGTGAAATTCGAAATGATTTGCGCTTTGCTTATTTTTACCTCCACTCATCAACTCGCATGCATGAGCAGACGCAGTGAAAGAAGAATTGGGTGCACATGCCCCGAGTCAAATTCTAGATAAAAATATTTGGATTGTAATTTTTAATGACTTTTGATAGTAAAAATAGTTAAAATTGAATATCTATGTGACTATGTCCCCATTAAATTTTGGTTCAATCTTTTGCTTGCCCCAAGCTCCTATTTTTTTTTGTCTTTTCTAGCCACCGTTAGATTATTGCTTTTAACAACATCACCATCAGATTGATATATTTTTTACAAAAATATTATTTTGAGAATAAATTAAAGAAACTAAAGTTAACAGTTACTTTTGTATTTCTTAACTTAGTGTACATTTGTTTTAACTAAGTTACAAAATCTTAGAATGTGATTCTTTTTCTCCCAAAAATGTTGTTTTAACTAAACAAGTAAGTTAACCATTATGCTTTCATGTATATGCTAACTTTTCTTTCCATATGTGCATGTATAGGATTTCTATAGCATTTTTTACAAAATTAATCAATATAAAAAGTTGGTAATAGAGTGAGGGCTCGTTAAAAGTGAGAGAGGGGAAGAGAGGAAGTTAGAGTAAAAAGAGGATTTCTTTGTTAAACCTACTCGGATGTTCATATTTTCGGAGATTTTTTTATTTAATTTATTATTATTATTGTTCTCGTGGAGAATGAATTTTTTTTATACTCAGTTAACCTACGGTAACGTTTGCAATTTGTTTATGCTATTGAAGAATAATGGGAGAACCAAAAATTAAGTGCTAATACATTACTTTTTGCCGCCTAATGTAACATAGCCTTTATTATTTTAGAAACACTATAAAAAAAATCAAGTATAAATCAACCATAGCAGAAACACATAAATTGATATTTTGAAATGCTATTAATTATACTAGGTTGAAACCCGCGCTCCGCCGCGGGATATTTTTAAATGATTTTTTTAATATTGAAGAAATTTAAATTGGAGAAATAATTTTAATTAAATATTTAATAATTAAATAATTTGAAGGCAAAAAAAGAACCAAATCAAATTTGAATGTTAAACTGAGACCAAACCGTAAATCAATTTTAGTATTCAGATAAAATTTGTATCCTGAAAAAGTCCGAAAACGATTATTTTTTTTCTGGAAAAACAGATGAACAAAGGAGAGAGATAGATTAGATAAACAGTTAAACGGAGAGGAAAAAAAAGGAAGACCTTTGCTTTCATATCTGAAAGACTTTCACTAATGGCAGCCAATAAGAGAAGATTGTTTCACTGTATGTCTAAAAGAGTTTCTATCACCGGAGTTCGGGGGAGCTATGGCGGTGTTCCGCAATCGAACTCTAAATCTCCTACGTCTTTTTCTGAGCGATTGATGTAATTGGAATCTGAATTCAGTGCCCACAAGTAAATATCTTTCTTTCCTCTTATTTTTTTCTCAAGTTTCCGTTTTTGTTTTCTCCGATTTGAATATATCGTCGATGAAATCGTTGAGCTTTTATTTTTGACAAAAGTTATGATATTTGATTCGATCGGACTTATATATATATATATGGACATGCCATAGCTGTATAGAACTCATGACTTAGATACTTGAAAATATGTTATATGGAATGATCATCTTTGATTTTAATGTTCCATATGCATACTTGATTTATATGTTGAAGAGGCGTAAAAGGCTAAGAGATTTGTTTGTTTGTTTGTTATAGGAGTATAGAACGTTACTCAAATGATTTTTAGTTATTCATTAAGATCTATGATAACGCTTAATAAATCTTATAATATTTTATTGCAATAGTTCTTAACTAATTCGATTTGTATCCAATTTTATCCAAAGGGTAAACATTACAAGTAAGGGCTTGACTGGTTTAAACGTAGCGGTTGCGGTTGTGGGAGTTTGCGGAAACGGACGGTTGCGGTTTCAAGCATTATTTAGCATTTTGACCGACTGGTTTAGCGGTTAAAAACGAATACGTTTGCGGGAGATTTACGACTGGTTGATCAGCGGGTACAGTAGCGGTTAAACCAAAATTTACCAAAATAAATTTAGTATATGATTATAAAAAGTATAAAAACACCAAAAACTATAATTATGAAAAAATATAAAAAATTTAAACATGATTAATGATTAAAAACCATAAATAATTATTCAAATAAATTTTATATTGAATACAAAAATAATTATTAATATTGGAAAATTAAAGTTAGATAATTTTTTTTTTTAGAATTAACGTGAATATACATAAGACTTGATAATATATATTTAAATTTGTTCATTTTTCTTTTTCAGTTTCTTTCCTTTTTTAAACCAACCGCAAACGCTTGCGGAAAGGAGCTTTTAAAATCCAGCGATTTCGAACTGTTCGAAGTGGTATGGAACCGTTTCTATGATTGGTACCAACCGCTAACAACCGCAACCAACCGCTAACAACCGCTAGGCGGGAGAACCAATCAAGCCCTAAATTGAAGTCCAACAATCCTATTCTAAAACATTAAGCCTATATGTTAGAGCCCAAGAACAAATGAGACAATATTAATAAAAGCAGAAGGGATGATTATTGGCTAAAAAATCTGATGTGTATTAATCCAAATATTTTTATTGGATGATGATTTTAATGATGTGTCATGTCCAGAATACTCAAAAAAGATGAGGTGTCAGCACTGGAGAGAAACCTAGTGTTTATAATTTAATGTTTTATCTTTACTTAAATTGTAAAAAATTTTACTTCTAGGGATTAGATTTTTATTTATGTAATTAGACTTTGTAATTATAATTATAGTCTCTATTGCCAACGTTAATATCTAATGAAAAGATGATGTTTCAAAAGTAAAATTCTAGTATATTTTTCAGTTAATAATTTATTTTCGTAGCAAAGGTATTTTTTGAATTTTTTATTTAGTGATTTGATATAATTAAATAAAATTTTAGAACTTGATTGTTTACTTTTATACTATTCGGAACCAATTATTACAAAAAGTATCATTACCATGTGCACTCTAAATATTGTAAATTTTATAAATATTAAATTTTACTAATTATTTTATATCTTTTGCAACTTTAAAGAATTAATAATTAGAATTTTCAAAGATCGTATTAGTTAGAGATGCTGAATTAATTACCATGTTCAGTACTTATATTTGGATTATGTATCAATTTTAATGATGTGTTAGTTTGAGAATAGCTTGAAAAGCTAATGTGTAAACACCATTAAAAAACTTTTAATACTATCTTTTTTGTAAATATAATAATTTTATAATTTAAATTTTATATTATCACATATTCTTGACATATTATATTTACAAAAATATATAAAATATTTATTCTATATATGATATATTAATTTTTTATATATATATATATATGTAGCGCGGGCTAATCTGTCAATCTTCGGGCATAACTTTCTAAAATCTGTAATCCGTGTAGGATTGCCCGCAAGATCCTTTTTTTAACGGATTTAATATTTTGTGTTCATAACCGGACCGGACTGGGTTAAGCCCATGAGTTTAGGCCCATTTTGATATTTCTATATAAGAGAATAATGTGGAAAAATGAAAGGTTTTTATTGGATATGAAAAATGAGTTGTATTATTTAGAATGTTTTCATTGGTCATTCATTTTAACTGAGGTGTCAACACCAAAATGCTTAAAAAAGCTGAGGTGTTAACCTATGGAGAGATTCAAGAGTTATTATTGTATTGATTCAATTATTTTGTAATGAATACAATTTAAGATTATTATACTATTATTTATTATTATTGTTAAGAACTCTTCATGGAGTTCCACTATTGGAAATGGTCTTAAACAACCTTGCAATGGAACTGCTCTTAGAGCCTTTAAATATATACACTTATGTTTTTTTTAATTGATTTTAGTTTTTTTATAAATATATCTGAAATTTTGGTGCCGTAATTGTTTTCTTTATGTATTTTAATAATTCTGACTTGTCACTTTTGTAGGGTTAAATTCTGACTTGTCACTTTTGTAGGGTTTAATTCTGACTTGTCATGTTAAATGATGACAACAAAAACCTTTGTCTATTGCCACCTAGTTAAAATAGATAATGAATCCGCCACTACTCGGAAATATGCTCACAAAGGCTCGAAATCTTCCTTATTCAGCTCTCTTTGTGTCAAACATTGACCTTCATACACTTTGAGTCAACGTATTATGTATTCTTCTTAAGTACCAATTAATCAATTATACTCCATAATATCTCTCAATCGTTTTAAGAAGCAATTGTAGATCTATTCTATTTGTAGTTTCCTATGTAATTTTTAATTTTTTGTATAAACGATTGTACCTCAATCATTTCAATATATTGAAATCATCATATTTTCAACGTACATTTTTCTTTTTTTGCTTGGTTGGTGGTAGAGACAACCTTATGTCTCCCCTGTCCTTTCCCAAATTGTTTTAAAACCATCGACACTATATGTCTAAAATCAGAAAGGGGTGATCACAATAATCTCCAAATAATTATCGAGTACACAATGGTTTAATTCAGAGTGAACTATACAACTCCGGTTCGAGTCGAGGCATTACAACAACTTCGACCGGGTTAATCTTTGGCAAGGCTAAACCAGGCCCTTCGGCCATATCCACTGGTTCATCAGACACTTTGCGTAACTCAAAGCCTTGAAGCAATCGAGCCAACACGAAGTGTACAACTCTTAGACCTAGATTGACCCCCGGACACGACCTTCTTCCCGAACCGAAAGGAATGTATTCAAAGTCGCTCTTTTCACATTGTGATTTCTCTTCCATGAACCTCTCAGGCTCAAAGGCTTGGGGGTCAGGCCAGATCTTGGGATCCCTATGAAGTTTCCAAATGTTGACGAGTAAGCGTGTGCCTTTCTCAACACGGTATCCTCCCACGAAACAATCTTCACGTGCTTCGCGGATTCCTGATCACTCATTATTTTGTTTAACCAAATACGTTTATCATTTAAAAGATTAATAAGGTCATGCAATAAGAATTATAATGACAATGAAGAGTATTTGATTTGTGACCTGTAAGAGGAGCTGGCGGGTACAGTCGGTGAGTTTCCTTAACAATAGCTTGTAGGTACTTAAGGTTTTGTACGTCGGATTCTTCAACCCATCTACCTTTCCCGACACAATTGTCAATCTCTTCTTGTGCTGCTTTTAAAGTAGCAGGATTGTTGAGTAGTAGCGATACTACCCATGTCAAAGTGATGGATGTGCTGTCTGATCCCGTTAATGTGAGAGCCTACAACAAGAAACCGAACATTTATGTTAGTAGACTTTCATCTCATACCATGAGTGAATTAAATCATATTTCTCATATACTACATTAGAGCACATCCAACGGTGATTTCTAACTGAGGTTCATAAGATTAAATAATAAAATGTAATAGAAACATAATAAGAGAGAAGAAAAAGAAGGAAACATGTGACATGTGACATTATATAACTAGTCAATTTCTTTATTTATAATCAAAAATATAAAAATAATTGAATTATATTGAAATAATAAAATTAATATAGATAAGAAATTGAGAAGAGTTCTTAGATTTGGAAATGGTCTTAGTTCATAATCAATTGTTTGTGACATTATCTAACATATATCAAAATTAATGGGTATAGAGTGAAAATGTGCATACCAAAATTGTTGCCTTCACAATGACATCGCGTACATGTCCACTTATCACAATATCTTCTGGTAAGATGTCGAGCAGTAGATCCATGATTGTTCTTTCTTGATCCTTCTCATTTCTTGATCTCTTCTTGAGATGTTCTTGGAGCCACTTGGTGTTGACTGAGTCAAGCTCCTTAAATAATCTCTTCATTTGAGAAATTTTTGCAAAATCCAACCATCCTAGCCATGGAATAACGTCGCCTATCATAGGAATCACAGCCAAGTACTCGCAATGCTTCAGGGACTCCTTATAACGCCATTCCTCGCTATTCACTTCACCGAAACCAATCCTCTTCCCCACCATCTTCCTAAGGATTATATTGAAGGTCAAAAACTCGAATAACATGTCAATCTTCACTATAGAAGTTCCACCACTCCCTTTATATAGGTGTTTGATAAACGTGTTTAATTCTGAAGAACGAATGTGACCAAGCATCTCTATACTCTGGTTTGAGAATAGATGGACGGTGACAATCTTACGTAAGTCACGCCAATAGTCTCCATAGGGAGCCAGTGTTAGACTTGCATTGTTGTAGCCTACGTACCGACCAAAGGCTATATTGGGTCTGGTTGCTAGAGCCAAGTCGTTGGTGGTGAAACATTCTTTCACCGTTTTTGGGTCGCTGGCTACAACCAGCCTATAAGACCCTAACTTGAGGGAGAAGATAGGACCATGTTTTTCGGATATGGAAGCTAGTTTCTTGCAAATGAGTTCTTTGCCGCGCAATAGATGGAGGTGGCCGAATAGAGGCAAAGCTCCTAATGGCTCAGGGATGGTGGAGCTATCAACTTCACCTTTACTCAATTTTTTTCCGAGGAAAATGTAACCGGCGATTACAAGGGCCAAAGAGAAGAGAGAAAATTGGAGAGTACTAAAGAGAAAAATCATGGTAATTTTTTTGTTTGATGTATGAGATAATGAGAATGTAGCTTTCTTTTACGCGTATATATATAGAAGTATGGTATGAACAATGAGGTAATGTAGCTTTCGTTTACTATGTGTATGTATTATAAATACCATAAAAATGTTGCCTATCACAACCTCTCTTTGACGGGAAAATATAAAAAACAAACAATTGTTTTTGAGTTTATTTATAAAAAATATGAAACTCAAATTTCATTACAAGTAATCAATATTAGTCATACTTACGCATTAGTACTACTTCACGGTTAAAGAGAAAAATAAATAAATCAAAATGGTCGTGTATAGACTAAAATCGAATTCGTTAGTGAACGGTGAGTTCGCTCGAGTGAAAGCATGTGCAATGCGATGTTCTCACCCACAAGTGGTCTCACTTCTTAAAAATATAAAAAGAAAAAAAAAAAAGAAAAAATAAGAGAGACACGAGGTTGGTTTTTTAAAATAAACAATTAAACTAATTTATGTGTTTTATCTATATATCTACTAAATCAACAGTCACTTTTACAATAACTGATACTCTTTCCATTTGACACGTGTCATAAGTCTCAATTTCTTATCTTTTACTTTCTTTTATAACAAAAATAAGTATTCCACAAAAATAAAAAGAGATCATTTTCTGATTAATACGTACACAAAATCTGACATGTCAAAACAATAAAATTAATATAATATATTTTATTTTATAATTTATTTGGGCAAAACAGTTTTCTTTTATCCTCAACAGTCAACTCCACGATCATTTGAAACTTCGATTAATATATTCCACAATTTTGTAAAAAAATAATAACAAACTTTCACAATTTTTCTCAACTGACTTCCACTTTCTTCTCCACTGACTTCCACTTTCTTCTCCATGAAACGATTGATCAATGAAAAGAAAAAGATGGAGAAATTCTCAGAATATATTACAATTAAGGTACATCTATGTATTTAAACATTTTAACTAAAAACTTTAATCTCAGTTTTTTATTTTGGATCACGAAAATGTCATATCAATTTGAGATTTTAGGCTAACTACATGTTTTTGATATTCTGTGATTTCTTAGAAGTTTTACATTCTGGTTAATCCAACTACATGAATTTAGTTTAGATTGATAGCCTTTGTTTACTTCACCTATTTTGCTATTAATGGTACAATGTTTTTGTTCATTGTTCTTCTTCTTACCTACGTTTCATTTATGTCACTTATTATTTTTGTAACTAATATATTATTTTGGTGAGATCGTATACACATAATGTACATGCCACCTTATTATCGAAAACTCTGTAATTGTCTGACCAAATAAAACTCATTAACTTATTCTATTTCTTATATTATGTATTGATTTTGTAGATATAGATTTGTCCGCGCATAGCGCGGGCTGTAAACTAGTAATAATATATTTTGAGAGATTTTGAGAGTTGAGACTTAAAAAGTTAGGATGTTGAATTTTTTTTTTCCGACAATTCAGCGCCCACAAAAAAGGACAAATCACCAAAACAATTCTATAACCTTTAGACACCATGCATGTGATCATACGTACTGCTAGTAGTTTAATTAAGATTAGTTAGCTATGGAGCTAGCTTAGTGATTGATAAGAGCCAAAGACACCATCAATTTTGTAAGGTTTGTTTTGGTTAAGGGCCTAGACAAAGAGGGTCTTTAAAATTGTCGGAGATATTTTGAGTTTTCATTGATGTCTCCATTGAGAAACTCCATACGTTATTTCATTCACACCATACATGACAATGAGACTTGAGTACGTAGTACGACTGATTAGTCATGTGATTATATTTGTGTGGTCATCCTTAAATATCGCAAGTCTCACCTTTGAATTGACATTTCATACATATCAATTTCCAGGCATGCACGAGAAAAAGAAAAAAAGATCCGAAGTTGTTAAAATTCGTTTATCATGAATTCATGATAACGCGTATAAAATACATATAAAATTCAATGATTGTCTTTTTTTTTTCTTTTGTTCCAAAAATTCAAGGATGTTCACGTATAAAATACATATAAATTCGTTTTGTTAGGATGTCACGTAGGACAGGAGCATGTGAAATATGTGGTCTGCTGTGTATATCCCAACGAATGGAATGTGTGGACTGTGGAAGGAGATTAGGCTTGATTTTTCGATTAGTGTCTGACATTAGTGGCTGTAATTATAATTATTTCGTCGCATATATAATTCACTTATCAATGTAAATGCACATTATATTTTATAGATTTTTCCACGAACTTTATTCGGTTTAGCACAATTTTGTTTAACCTATGTTTACATTTGTAACCTTTATATAAAGAAACTGGAACTAATTAAGTTGGAATATTTCGTGGTTCAATGGATCACCAGATTGAACTGGAACTAATTGAAAAATTTAAATTAATGTTTTTTTTTGGCTAAGCAGTATAAAATTTTCCTTAATGGAAACATAATTTGTTATATTATGAGAATATAACTTATGGGTATGAAAATGTTTCTTTACCAATTTGGTATATGTTAGTAATAGTATGTTACTACAGCGGTTCAACTTTTCTAACATTTATATGATTTTAATGTAGCTAGCCCACATTTATATGAATTTAATGTAGCCTTATGTATTTCAAGAAGAAACCAAAGACATCAGGACTAGTTTGAAACTTCGGGGACGAAGACAAGAATCAGTCAGAGCCATGACTCATTTCAGAAGAACCATCAATGTCTAATCTTTTACCACCAAAACACAAGTATCTGTTCGTCCCCTAACTCGGAAGAAACTGTCTCAAACGGCGACGAACAACTGAACAAGCGGACGAGGAATAATTAGTGGATTTTAGTTTTTCTTTTAGAAACAAAAGCTCCATTTGGTTCTACTGAACCACCATCTATCTCGCCGGTGGAAAGCTCATCGGAGATGCTTAACATGACGACGACAACAAACTTTGGTGGTGGTGATAACTGGTTTTGATTCCGGTTTGATCCGGTAAAAAGAAAATCAAGAGACATTTTTGAAATAAAAATTAATAATTAATTAAGAAAATAAAGGTAAAATAAGAATCTTATTTTATTATGAAATTGTGAGTATGAAAATAACAACATTTATTTTCTTTGATATTAATTTCCATGTTTTAAGTAGTATATGTATTTTTCTTCCAATGGTCCCCTAGCTTCCCCTTGAATAACTCTGCGTTTCCTTGCAGTACTTTTTGTAGGATCTGAACAACTGATATATTGGACAGTAACATCCCTAAGTTCTCCCATGACCTCCTCAGTTGTGGGGGTTGGAGGAGGAGGGCGTGGTGTAACCTCAGCTGATGTGACTGTTCTCTATAGTGGTGGTCGTCTTGTTCTATAGGTTTCTGAACTCTCAGGTCTAGGGTAAGTTCTTGAGCTAGCCTTTTCCCTCCACTGTAAATTTGGATTTTCATAGCTATGAGTATGTCCGAGCTGAACTCTTCTTTGTTCCTCTCTAGGGGGAATATGTGTTCTTGAGGATGATCTTTTGCTAGTCATTGGTCTATGAGCTCTGTCTCCATTGTATCCTTCATTAGAGAAGTGAGAGTTTCCGTGTCCCTTATATATCCTCAAGGGCTTTGTTACTTATCGTGAACTGCTCATGGGAAGAACGCTGAGCTCCTTCTCGGATTCTCCAGGTAGAAGGTTGCCTTCTTTGGTTATTTGTGACTTCTTGTGAGAGACCACGACTCTCAGAGTATCTTCCTTTGTTACTAGGGGCAGCAATATTATCTCTTGGTGTATAGTAATTTCTGGATACTTCATGGGGCTCTGGTAGGGATTTTGGGAGAGGGAAAGTACCACTCTTTCCTTTTTCTGCCTTGATACCTGGGTAGTTTTTCTTCTCGTGTGTGAGTCTCTGACAATGTGAGCAATGATTTTTGAGGTTCTTGTACTCTAGAGTTACCAGTGCTTCACTTCCATCAGGGAAATCTACCATTGTATCTTTTGTTATAGGTTGCAGGCCGTCAATGAGGATCATGAGCTTTGTCGTTGAGTTAGTGATTTCCATGTCCATCACTTCACCGAGTTCTTCTCCAATCGTTTGTAGTATTTCAGGTGGCCAAAAATGCTTTGGAGGCCTTGGACTTCAATCTAGAAAGGGATCAAGGATGGGAAAGAATCAGAGATGATGGGTTCCCACTTCTGGATTATCACCATCCACTGGTCATAATGGTATGGCCTGTTGTCTAGAACTTTTTTCAAATCCTCCTCATAATCAAATCTGAACTGGAAGCAGCCTCTTCCTTGATATGACCCTAGAGCTTTTCCTTTCAGGTTCCAATGATTGGAGAGGAAGGGAAAGAGAGACCACAGTCTTTGTGCAGCTGGATTAGTAAGTCTTCCTATGAGGGTAAGGGAGTTTGCTTCAATCAACTCAGAGGTGTCTAGATCTAGGGCTCGGATTCTTTTGAGTGGGGGAGGAGAAAAGCCTCTGTCGATACCTTTTCCTTTGAGATGGTAAGGGATTCTTTTTTCCACGTTTTCGAGTTTCTATGCAAATTATATATTACTTTAATATTTTATGATTATTTATATGATGCAGTCTCTTTTATGATTGGTTGAACTTTTAAAAAGTAGATCTTCTTAATCTGCGTGCTTTTAGCTAAAACGACTTATATTATGAAACGAAGGGAGTACTTTATTTATCTATATCTCTGGATCTTTCCTCTTCCTCGACCGATTCTTTTCTCGCATCAACTTGGGATTTTTTCACATAGATTTGGTATTATTTGTGTGTCTAGTCGCGGGTAGCTCAAAAACATTTGTAAAAATAATGTAAGCGTTTGCTATACACAGTAGTGAAATTTACATAAAAATTTAGCCGGGGAAAAAAAAATGACCAGCTAGATTCGACACAAAACAATTGTGGTTGCCAAAACACAATTATAAGGGCGAGCAAAGTCACACGTTACTTTTTTCTCCCAGCCAAAGTATACCAAAGTATAATCGCATAAACAAAAGTTATATTTTCATTATTTCTTATTTTACATATTCATTATTGTAGTATTGTCACTTG